TTGTTTACCCCATCTCCAAAGGATGGAGAAGCAGTGAACCTAGAGTTAAATGTAGGTCAACTGTTAAAAAAAAAAATGCATCCCAAGCGTGAGCAGATTGCTGAAGGAGCGTTGTCAGGTGACCAGATACAAAGGAAAGCAGGGTTCTTGTGCCTTTAACAATCATGTAAAATAGAGTAGAAAATTTGGATGAAGGAAACTCCCCCCCTGCGTAGCGTGCTGAGGTGTGAAAGCTGCGTCTGCAGTAATTCACTCGTATGAGCATTAGCTCGAGGAAAGTAGCTGTATCCTCAGTTGCAACTTGTCACCGTATATCAGGGGTCTCCAACCTTTTTCAACCAGCACATTTGGAATTCTGATACAACATGTTAGGCTCAGCTACAAAATGGCTGCCTCCAGAGGCAGAGCCAGCCACAAAATGGCTGCCATGGCTTACCTCCAGTCACTCAGTTAAGATCCTTGTGCTGTTATGGCAGCTGCTGCCAAAGCAACATTTAAAAAAATCTGCAGGACCAATAAAATCTCCAGTGCTCAATCAGAAGATGTGCTTGGCAAAAAAACCCTCCTGGCCCTGCCCTGGGGTTGCTAGGTTCCCCCAGCCACTGGCAGGGGATGGGTGGTAGGGTTGCCAGATCCAGGGTTGGGAAACCCCTAGAGATTTGGGGATGGAGCCTGGAGAGGATAGGGACCTCAGTGAGGTACAATGCCATAGTATGAGCATTAGCTCGAGGAAAGTAGCTGTATCCTCAGTTGCAACTTGTCACCGTATATCAGGGGTCTCCAACCTTTTTCAACCAGCACATTTGGAATTCTGATACAACATGTTAGGCTCAGCTACAAAATGGCTGCCTCCAGAGGCAGAGCCAGCCACAAAATGGCTGCCATGGCTTACCTCCAGTCATTCCTTTTGCTGTTATGGCAGCTGCTGCCAAAGCAACATTTTAAAAAATCTGCAGGACCAATAAAATCTTCAGTGCTCAGTCAGAAGCTGTGCATGGCAAAAACCCCACCTGGCCCTGCCCTGGGGTCGCTAGGTTCCCCCAGCCACTGGCGGGGGATGGGTGGTAGGGTTGCCAGATCCAGGGTTGGGAAACCCCTAGAGATTTTGCAATGGAGCCTGGAGAGGACGGGGACCTCAGTGGGGTACAATGCCATAGAGTCCGCCCTCCAAAGGATCCACTTTCTCCAGGGGAATAGATCTCTGTAGTCTGGAGATGAACTGTAATTCCGGGGGATCCCCAGGTCCCACCTGGAGGCTGGCATCCCTACCCTGCCTACTTTCTGAAAAGTCTTGGTGGGCACCCGAAAAGGTGTTGGTGGGTGCCAGCTGCCCTTGATAAATGAATAAGGCTGTCACTCAGTTTTTAAGAAGTTGATTCATTGTGTGTATTTTTAAGTAATCGGTCATTTAATGAAACAAGTCAATCTGCATAAATTTACATATGGGGGGGAAACAACCACTCAAACGTCCCCTTGAAGGGTGCCTGGCACCTACCTTTCTTGCCTTTAGGCACGGGTCCAAATGTTTCTTTGGTACCCCAGAGCTTTTTAACAAAGGGGAATCCGTCTTCGTTATCTGTTTTACGATCTGCTTGAACCCCGAGGACTGTTTCATCAGCACTGTTTTGGATTGCTCTGCTTTTATGCCATAGCATAGTTTTTATTGTCTTGTTTCTAACTGGCTTTGCTTCTGTTTATTGGCTTGACTCGTTTCAGGTGTCAGCTACCTTGGCCAGGTTCTGAAGCGATGGCATACAGATCTCCTTAAAAAATACATTAAAAAACAATTGTCCGTTCTCAGAAGATGGAAGCACATGTTGCATCAGCTGTCCTTAGAAGAGGAATTTCCCCTTCTTTACTCCAGACAGAATGGAATGCTCCTTTTAAGAAAGGCACTTACAACCTGCAGTTTTTACAAGCATTTTTATTAAAGCTCATAACTGGGGGGGATATGCTGCCCAATTGATTGGAGTACTATTTTAGTCAATCAAAACGGTTTTAGGCAGTTCATCAAGTCGACTGTATTAACCCGGCAGTGCTAAAATTAATTTATTTTTCGAAAGCATAACAACCACAGTAAATATGTAGCAATAGGTTATACCACAATATGGCTGCGGTCACACGGAGCATTAGGCACGCTAGAGGGACGGAAGATAGGTGGATTTTCCGGGCGCGATCTCACCGCCACATCTGGGAAGCGTCAAGCTCCCGTGGCGAACCCGAGGCTTCCCACGGAAGATGCGCAGTAAAAAACTAGTACCTCGGAGGTACTAGTTTCCTGAAACCGTGGGGCAAGGGCGGGCGTCTGATCACGTTTCCGGTGGTAGTTCCGGCGCCCGCCCATGTCCCCTCGCAAAAAGGTTTCCTCCCCCCAAAAGTCTCCACGGATGCGCACAAGCACCCAAGGGAGCATTTGAGTTTTTTAAAAAAACCAACCCCGTTTGCCCCACGCCCTGCTTCTTTGCCACGCTGCAGGACTGTGGAATGATCGGCACCTCCCCCCTACCACGGGACCTCCATGGGACCTCCATGGTAGGTCTGCTCGCGCAACTGCGCGGTTTTTAGCCCCGGGGCAAACAGTCACGCTTTCCCCCCACATTTTCCTGCCCGTGTGTCCGCAGCCTAAGAATGTTTACAATAAGTATAAAAATAACTGGAATCTTCTGGATGCCACAGGTATTTTGGCATATGTCAAAGTCTGCCTTGACTCCAAATTTTTAGAGGATATGTCCTTTTTTGTGTGTCCGTCCTCTTTTGAACTCTTTAAAAAAATGGATGAAAACTTCCCATTTTGGGGTTAAAAGGTTAGGAATATTCCTAGTTAGTAGCATTATCACAGCTTAAATAGTGGGGGTATTTAAAATGAGATTCATCACAGTGATCACTTGTCTGAAGTAGTCAGTCAGGAAATATGTCCTCTTTTTTGCTTTTCAAAATATGGTAACCCTACTTGATGGTATATGGGGGGAGGCCTAAATATGAACAGTTCAGTTAAATAGCTATCTTTGAATAATACTGATTATTCCATTGTAGCTCTGTATAGTAGTCACTCAGTATGCCCCTCCTTTCATCCTCCATCATATTTGTTTAGGATGAGACAGAAGTGTATTAAAGGTAACTCAGAAGAGCCAGTACTGCTCAGAATATGAAAACATTTCTGGCTTTCCCCTCTGCTGAATGGGTTGGGCTAGGTTTTCTGTCGACACAAACCAGCGAAACCTATTTAGGCTGTAGAGACCACACCCCTGGCTAGCTGCTCTCCTTGCCAGCTTCTTGCCAGCACCAACCAGCTACTGTCTTTCCCACTGCAGCTGGGTCTTTTATCCCCCTTTCTTTGTCCAATCCCAGATCCTGTGCTTACCCCTGAGCAGACCATTTTCCCCAAGGAGAGCTTTACCCCAGAGGAGGCTTTTGTTCCATAGGGAGTTGGTATGGTTTGGCCTCCCTCCTGTATGCTCTTCCACTGCTTCCTCAGACCCAGATTGATCTTCCATCCTCTCTGCAACCGCTAAGATCGCCAACCCCCAGGAGGGCCCTTTAAATCTTGCAAGAGGGGAGGGAGAGGGCTGGCAATGCCACTTGGAGTTCAGGCGCACAGGGCCAGTCCCCACTGGCCAGAAGCACATAAAGGGTCCCTTGCTCCCACGGCCACCCCTCCCTCCTTTCTGCAAAATTTAAAGGTCAGCTGGCAACTGGAGGGCCCTTTAAATCTCTCAAGAGAGAAGGGAGAGGGGTGGCTGTGGGTGTTTGGGCTTGAGGGCAGATTGAAGCCAAAAAAACCGAGTAAACCCATATCAGCCCAGGAGTCTGACAGCCCTACGCCAGGCCTGGAGATCTCCTAGAACTACAACTTATGTCCAGACACTAAAGATCCGTTCTCTTGGCGGAAATGGCTCTATGGCATCATACCCTGCTGAGGTCTGTCCCCTTCCCAGATCCCACTGTCCCCAAGCTCGCTCCGCCCCCAAATCTCCAGGAATTTCCCAATCCAGACAGGGCAGCTCTCGCTGTGGCCTTCCTTGGGGCTCTACCCCTTCTGCCCCAGAGGTTAGATGCTCAGGAGTGTGACACAGGGTGAGGAAGGGAGAATCTTGTCTTCTTTCTTTAGTCTTCATGGATATCACCAGTTGATCACCAAGGATGAACCTATATCTGCATTCACACACATGATGCAGAAACTGTAATGAAGACTAATGGTAGTCTATAAACCAACCCCAGATCCTGGTTTGATGGTCCCCTTATTAGTGGAATGGCCCACATTCAGACAGCCGCACTAACCATAGTTAGCTTTATTAAACCATAGTTCTCTGTGAATTGAGCCAATGCGCACAAACAGTTCCAACTGAGCCAATGTGCACAGAGTGCTTCAAATGCTCACAGGTGTTTTGATTGCAAACACTAGTCTTCTTGATGCTCTCTCTCCATCTCATTGCTCTTGCACCAATCTGATTGGCTACAAAAGGATAATCTAAATGGTGACAGAAAGGGCAATTAGTTATTTAAGGAAAAATCTGTATGAAAATCATATTCAGGGAAGGGAAACTTCAGGACTAATGGGAACATGCCTTTATATGAGACTAGGAAGAAGAAGAAGAAGAGATTGCATTTATACCCCACCCTTCACTACCCAAATGTGTCTCAGAGCGGCTTACAAACTCCTTTCCCTTCCCCTCCCCACAACAGACACCCTGTGAGGTAGGTGGGGCTGAGAGAGCTCTTGACAGAAACTGCTCTTTTTCAAGAACAGCTCTTATCAGAGCTACGGCTTGCCCAAAGTCATCCAGCCAGGTGCAAGGGGAGGAGTGGGGAATCAAACCCGGTTCTCCCAGATTCGAGTCCGCGCACTTAACCACTACACCAAACTGGCAAATAAGGCCTGTTGCAGAAAGAAATGCAATGAGCTCTAGAAAGAGTAAGCAAGTAAGAGAAAAGTAAGGCCGTATTGAGGTTCATGGAGGCCCCACGCAGCGGTCCGCCTGGGTGCCCAGGCTCTCACTCACTTGTGTTATGTTGTCTCTTTGCCGGGGCAGCCCCATTGTCCCATGGCTTGGCCGGCTCCATCCCTCAGCCTCCCACATCAGCACCACCACCGTGCTGTTCCCCCCAGCAGGAGGCGCATCACCACCGCCCCCTCCTCTCCCCCTGCCTCCCTTTCTTCCCCATGACCGGTGCTTGTGTGAAGCTGCAGAGCTGGCTCTGGAGTGGGCAGCGCAGTGGGTGGCCGCCCCCTGTCCTCCACCTGGGCGGTTTGCGCCCTGCTCCAACTGTGGCCGCACAGGTTTTCTGCAGTCCTCCTCCCCCACCCCACCTCTCAGCCATTGTAAAGAGCACGAGGCAGGCAATGGAGGCAGCGCGTGAGGCAGAGTCAGGTCAAGCAGATGTCGCTGGGGAGGAGAGGTGAGCCACCAGGGTGGCATGAGGGGGGAATGCTGGGTCCATGCTCCATTCATGGGGCGCGCGAGGGATGGGAGGGCGATGGGAGAGGACTTAAGCGAGGGCTCCCCTCCCCACTCCCAATGCTGTGAATGAGCTGGAGGGAAGGAGGCCCAGCCATCCCCAGCCCCGCGGAGAGTCCCGTCCAGCCCTTCCATCGGCTCCAAGCACACTGAGTCCAAGATGCCGGACACCGCCTCTGTGGGCAGCACACGGTCTGAATGACAGGTCAGGGAGCCAAAGGCTGCGGGAGCGTGGGCAAGAGGGACACGAAAACTCTTTTATATATAAGGAGATATGCATTATTCATCCCTGAGCCACCAGAGGGTGCTACCCGTACATGGTACTTGATGCTACAGATGCTTCCCAAATCACCGCTGGATTATAGACCCTTTCTGCACTGACAGCTTGCTCTGGAGAATCCAAGGAGTCAAGCCTCTTAAGGGTTGACTTCGCAGTCACATGCATTCCCTCTGTACTGGTTTTTCTCCCTCTGGTTTATTTATTTGTGTATTCTGTATGCATCGTGCATCTACAAGCAAAACCTGAATTTTTTGAGCTAACTGGCTGCTTTGTCTAAGATGAAGAGAAAGGCAAACATCTTTAAGAACTTTTAACTGCGGGTATGTAAGCCGCTCAGAGACCCCGTGGGAGGGGTTCGAGCGGGGTAAAAGTCGAATGTTAAATAAATAAATAAAAATAACTGAAGACCCAACCCCTCTCTCCCTCCTTCCCTTCCTCCATGATTTTTCAAAAATAAAGGGAAGGGAGGGGGAAATCCAGGCCCCCACGTGCAAGACTGACACGTTTGGGAGCAGGGAATCCCCTAGTCCTTTATATTTACTGATTCATTCCTATGCTCTCTCTGGTTTTTTAAAAGTTAGCCTGAGTGGGAGGAGACATCTTATTTTGTCTTTGGAGAAGGAGGGAGAGAAAACAGAACAGGGAGGGAGTTTCAATCTAAAAAGAGAGAGGTGGAAACGGGGGAGGGTAGTGCGCAGCTCTTAAATACCCACAGAAAAAATTCTACTTTAGAAAGAATTAGCTATTCAAAAGCGGATGAGAACAAAGAATCGCAGCGAAAGGAGTTTTGGTAACTGCAGGGCAACAGTGTGCTAGAAGTGGTCTGAATGCAGATTCCTGTGAAACAAATGCAGACACAAGAGAAAGTCCCACCACAAAGTGGAAGTGGAAGTGGGAGGGAATGCAGAACGGAAGAATAGGATGCGCTCAGAAACTGAGGGAAAGAAAGACTTACTTTCAAATGTTCTCGTTCACTGAGCACTGGAAGCAGGAAGAAGGAGCCTCCAGTTTCCCTCCCACCTCACTTTCACCAGCAGAAAGGGTGGTGGGAGGGCTTTTCACCCCTTCTTTGTCTCCATGTTCTTCCTGTTCGAATGGACAACACCAATAATCTATTTGATAGCGAAAAATGAAGAATTATTTTGCATTCCACATCACACAGCAAATGGGCACTTTTGGGCCCAGATCTGGAAAATCCACACAATTGTAGATCCTGCTGGCTTTGTACAAACTCTTTTTCACTGTCATCCTAACCCTTCTAAGTCCACTGAAGTCAATGGACTTCAAAGGGTGCAATTCTGCTTAGGATAGCACTGTTTGGGTCCTAGCAAAGCATTTCCATGTGAGTTTCCTGGACCATAATAAAACAGGAATCCAGCAACAACTCTGACTTTCATGAGTCAGCATTCACTTCATCAGATGCGTTGAGGTGTACATCCATTAAAGGTAAAGATAAAAGTTTCCCTTGCTCGAAAGCCAGTCGAATTCAACTCTAGGGGGTGGTGCTCATCTACATTTCCAAGCCGAAGAGCCAGCACTGTCCGAAGACGTTTCTGTGGTCATGTGGCCGGCATGTCTAAACGCCAAGGTGCACGGAACGCTGTTACCTTCCCACCGAAGCAGTACCTATTTATCTACTTGCAATTTCTTGCTTTCGAACTGCTTGGTTGGCAGGAGCTGGGGCCAGAGACGGGAGCTCATTCCGTCATGCAGCACTTGGGTTTCAAACTGCCAAACTACAGACCTTCCAGTCTGCAGTTCAGCGTCTTAACCTCTGAGCCACCACAGCCCCTGTACATCCATTAGGTTGATGCTTTTATACTCACAACAGAAAGGCTGGGGGAGGCTGGGCAAGGGGCTTTGGCTCAGTGGCAGAGCATCTGTTTGGCATGCAGGAGGTTGCAGGTTCAGTCCCTGGCATCTCCAGCTAAAAGGATCAGGTGATGTGAAAGACCTCCACTTGAGACCCCAGAGAGCCACTGCTAGTTTGAGTGAATACTGACCTTGATGGACCAATGGATCCAATTCATTATAAGGCAGCTTTGTGTGTGTTCAAAGAAAGACCAGTGGCTCACTCAGAATGGGCGGTAAGGGCCACCCATAAATATTGTTAGACATGGAAAATAGGATTAACAAGGGGTGGCCCGCGATACTCGCGGGGGGGGGAGGCGGAGCTCCAAACTGAGCTCCGAACTCAGGAGGCGCAGGAGGAAGCAGCAGGAGAAGGTAATCCCCCCCATCTTGCTGGTTCCTCCCCCCGTATCCTCCCCCCCCG